AGAGTCAGGGATTTGCTAACAGAGAGAAGATGCTACCACCAGCCATTTGCCCTTCACCAGAACAGCCAAGTATCTCCTGATCCAACCTTTTCCTTCCAACCATCTCCATGTGCCCAGTCCAGCTGCTGGTCTGCTCATCCTCATGGGAGCACAGCAGTCAAGTTTTACACCATCCTGTGACTCTCCAAGGCAAGCCCAGGCTTTGCTGACCCAGAGCTGCCTCTCTCAGCAGAAGGATATGGAAGCCGTTCTCTCCAATCATTCTGAAGTCATCTAACAAACAGACAATGTTTTCTCCTGCCCGGTCCTTCCTCTTCATACTGCTCACCTGAGGGGGAGGATTCCAAGAAAGCTGCAATTAGAGACATATATATACGCACTGGGACATCTTGCACCTGTTCTGTAGACTTTCTCTTCCAGGAGCTGGCACTTCATGACAGAGCCCTTGAAAACAACATCAGGAAAACCAGGCTCCAAACACACAAGCAGAGTCTGTTACCAAGGAATGAGTTTCTGTGTTGTTTAGCTCTTGACCAGGTGGGACCATTACCCTCACAGTGTCTGAATAACTGAAACCTATCCTGCCCATAGTGGCTAGCACACTTCCCACTGCTCATTTTACCCCATCTGGGCCAGAAAGTGCTTCTGCTTGTGCTGGAAGGGAATTCCCCCAAGACCCTGGCTCCCTGCTCCCAGAAGCAATGGCTGCCCATTTCCTTTGCCCTTTTGCAGCCTCTGCTCCTTGTCCTCTGAGCAGGGATGGCCCTGTCCCTCCCTGACTGAGAGTAGCAGGCTAGGACATCATCTTTTGATATCCACACCTTCCCTTCAGCAATTTCTCACAAGGGGTTGCAGAGAGGCAGACACCTTGTGATTGTCTTTGGCCACTCAAAGGCTACTTGTCCTACCAGGGTAGAAAGCACCTTCCATGCCTGGAGGAACACAGCAAAGTAGGTCTCTTTGGGCTGAAAGAGGGTTTGCTGTAGGCAAATACTTCAGAGATCTGTAAGATACAGAGTGGTGGCAGAGGGTGTGAACACAGATCTTTCATACAAGGGCCAGAGGGCATCAAAACTAGACCTGGGAGGTTAAAAAACAAAGCAGAGGAGATGGTTTTTCACACAGCATGTAGGTAATTGGTGGCAGTTCTTGTCTCAGGGGGCTGTGGGTGCTGAAGCCCACATGAGCTTGCAGGTTCTGTGAAGGTAAATCCACTGAGACTTACTGCCCACATAGACATCACCCTTGGCCCAAGGAATTTGCAGCTGGAAGCTGCTCTAGGTCTAAGGAGCACTCGGTGGGAGCAGCACCCTGTGCTTAGCTTGTCCATACACCCATCTGGATATCTGCTGCTGGCCCAGGGTGCTGGGTGGACCCCCTAGTCTGCCCAAGCACGGGTGTTGTGGTACCCCAGCTCTTGAACATCTGTGTGGTAAGATGTTTCAGGAGCTTGCTCACACAGAGCTCTGATCCTCCTGCAGCAATTCCTACTTCTTTTTTCTCTTCACAGCCATAACTGTCAAGATTTTGGTGCATTGTGCAGCTGCTGGATCCACCTGCACCTGGAGGTTTGTGCTGGCATGACAGGTGAGCAGCCCTGGAAGCAGGGGAGACCAGTTGCCTCTCTGGGCAGCTCTGCAGGCACCAACCACCCTGTGCTGCTGGGAAGAGCCCTGGGAACCAGCTGCATTCTGCTGAACGGAAGGCGTGTCTGTCTCTCAGAAAGAATTAGCCATAAGTCAAGGGTAAGGCTCTGGCTTTACACACGATTGTGCTGATGTGTAGAAAAGCAGCCCTCTGATTACATTAAATTAGTGCCACTTGGTGCTTCCTCTTGCATCACTGAGTCTGGCTTCTGTCCCTTTGGATAGGGCCTACAGATTTACAGGTGTGAACTAAACCTTTCTCAAACTGTTGCAGAAAGGCCTCAGAGTAATTTCAGATGCAAAACATAATGGCTTTTACACATCTAAAGCTGATGTAACTCTGTATTTAGGCAAACTTGAAGAACTGTAAGCACAAGCTTTCTAGAACTAGCAGGTCAAGCTGCCTTCAAAGGCAACCAGCTGAGAGCCAGATACAGGCACCTAATTACCACATGCATTAGCAAAGGCAGGAGGAAGCTTTCTGACTTCAGAGGTTTATTGCATTTTTGCTACATCCTGCATTATTTTTTTTTCAGATATTTCCTTTTACTTCAGTATTAGTGTTGGGCTAGATCAATGCCCTCTGAGCTGGGGATGACACAAACATAGCAGAAATAATCCCATCTTCTGCTTGGGAACAACATTCCCACTTTTTCCTGTTGGTTACCTACTTCATCTTTTTGCAGGTTCCTCCTATTTACTGGATTTCAAGCTTAGCTGAACAAAATAGGCTGACAGGGCAAGTGGAACACACTCACCTGTCCCAGTATGACAGAAGGTAGGAAAAGGTGCCTGTTGCAGAGGCCAGCACCGAGCCAAGGTGACTTTAATGAATTCCTATTTTTTGTTTTTGGTTTTTTTTTTTCCCATTTCCCACCTATCTCCTCAGACTGAGACCCAGAGGGAGGAGGGATGATGAGGCTGATACTCAGACCTGAACTCAGTGGCCATTCCCACAGAGCAAAGCACAGAGCCCCAGAATATACATACACAGTGGAGGAGAGCAACTTCATCCTGGGCAGCCTCAGCAAAGCTCTCCCTGCTTCTCAGGACCTTCACAGCTACCTGGTTCTTCCTCCTGGGAAATGAATCACAGATGCCAGCCAGCACATGCCCTAACAGGCAGCACCTCCCGTTCTCCCAGTCACCTAGCCCTGGGCTCTGTGGGGAGGGTGCTGCTGGCATCTGGCACCACAGCTGCCCAGGGACCAGTGAGAGGCTGGAGAGAAAAAGGCAAGAGTGCGGGAACATTGCAGGGTCCAAACGAGAAAAGCCAATGCAGATCAAGGGCTGATCCCACGTTATTTATGTTCCTTGGTTTCTGGGACCACCTCTGCTCACTGCACCCCACCAACCTCGCTGCCAGGTTTACCCCACGCTCAGGAAATGCTGAGACAGGCAGCTGCACTCTGCTGCTTCTGCAAGAGGGGCAGGTGCTGCCCAGGAGCTCAGTCACCCCTCCCCTTCTCCCTGAAAGTTGGTCAGCCCCTCACCTCATATCCTGGCACAGCCAGACGGTGGCAAAGGCGCCGCAGCCCAGCTTGTACAGGGCCTGGTACCGCATGTTGAACACCTCTCCTTCCCGCACGGGGTGGTGGCCTCCTGCAGGGACCATCACCAAGAGACATCATTGACATGCTATTGGACTGGAAGAGCAGCTGAGGACAGCTGGAAAAGCAGCTGGACAGGTCCTGGCAGCCTCCTCTAGCTTGGGAAGAGTCCAGTGCTATCTTGGCTCTGGAGCCACACACCCAAGGACTAACCTGTGCGCTGGGCTGCTGGCACCTCTTCCTGCACCCGCTCCTCCATGGCCCAGCCTTGCAGCAGATCCTGGCACCAGGTGACAGAGGCAGTGGGGAATGTCGTGGGGCACGGGTGATGTGATCTTCAGTGCTTTACTCCTTTAAAGAGGGTTGGAGAGCTGCAGGGCAGCTGTACCTCTGCTGCAGGCTGTGCACATCGATTCCCTCCTCTACCCCTGCTCTCCCCTCGCCTCCTTCCTTCCCACCAGCTTCACCAGCCCCTGGAGCCAGGCTGCTACGGGTGCTTTTGGCAGTTCACAGAGGCAGGGATTATTTTACAAGTTCAGAACAGGAAAGCTGGCAGGCTGGGGCTGGGCACGGATCCTGGGCAGGCGAGGGCCAGGTGGGAGTCTCAGGTTTCCCTGTGCCTCGTAGGGATTTTCAGGGGCTTAGCAAGGACTGTGGGATCCCCCCCCATGGCCACAGCCAGCGATCCCACCCACTCCCTGTCCCAGCTGAGGACACATCTGGGCTTTTGCTGGCAGGAGAAGCCTCACACTCCAGATGGGTGCAAAACAGAACCTGCTTTTTAACCACTGCACCAGTGCACATCTGTTCACAGCCCAGCCCCGGCTGGAGGAGGGGTTAATCACTGACCGTCCCATGACTCCCCAGCAAGAGGCTGTGACAGAGGGGGAGGCTGTTCCTGGGTTTGTTACTATGACAGCTCAAGGTACAAACAGTGAGACACTGCAGACAGACTGATGCAACTGCAGAGGGACTCAGCTGTCCCCCCTGCCTCCACAGCACCAGTGTAGAATTGGTTTCAGCACCGGTCACCTGAAATAGCAGCCCTGAGCTCATGTTGCTAATGAAACTAGAGCTGTAAGTCTGCTCTAGCTGGGGTACTCCCGACCCAGCCTTTTGTATTTTGGAAATGTCACTTGCTGTACAGCTGAAGCTTCAGGCTGACACACATTGCCAGAGCTCACGACAGGCGATAATAATCCCAGTAGACCATTAGCATGGGTAGAAGTACTGACCTTTAAATCCTTCAAATCAGGTCGCTAAACCTAAGAGCTCATCTGCACTGGAGGATTTTCAGAAATAGTTATAGTGAGCTGGGGGCGTGGTGGTGGCAGCAAGACCCACATGATGGGGAGTTGTTCTGGGACAGTGACATTTCCCAGGTGCTGAGACAGACTTTTATCTTCCTCAAAAGACTAAAGTTTCTTTCCACGTCCTAATGCTCCTCTTCCAGCACAGCAGCCAGACACACAGCCTACCTTTGGGCACCCAGCAAGCTCCCATGCTTCTAATTAAGGGTCATACTGGGCTTGAGGTTCTGATGCCATCAAGGACAACCCTAATTGCCAGAGCTGACATTGCTTCATTCACCCAAGGCCATACAGTATGTGAAAGGAGCTCAAAACCCTTCCCCCTCCTTGTATTTCCACACCTCCAACTGTTGCATTTACACTGTTCAGAATCAGTCTTTTTTAGGCATAACCCTCCAGGATACTGTGTGTCTGTATAGCCACTCTTTTCAGAAAATACTTACTGACATCCTAGCTATGGAACAGAGGTGAAATCAAGATTTTCCTTATTTGTGCACTGACTGACATCAGTAACCTTGCAAGCTCCTGCATCACAAGGTTCTCCCCAAGCCCTTCTCACTCACATCATCAGGACAACAGGGACATCTGAGAGCTAGGCAGCAGCCTTAAACATTTTATTATATCCTTCCAATTCACCTGCCAAAGGAAAACTCCAGAGTGTGTGGAGCTGGGAGTTCAATAGCACCCTTCCTAGGTGGATTGTTAGGGTAACAGGGAACTTGAGTGGGAAAGTAGGACCCAAAGACAGACTCGGACTGTAAAACACATCCTAGTGCTGATGGAAGTTTTGGGCAGCTCACCAGGCCCTGATGTCTTTCTCACCATGGAGGTGAGGCAAGTCTGTCCTTAGGCATGTGAGACTTTACCTCCATCCACCCCAGTGAGATGGATGCCCTGGCAAAGGATAAGGAGGGTTGCTATGCAACTTGGTACAGGAGAGTGAAATGCACTTTTCTAAGCTTTGTGATAACAGATAATCAATGCTTGAAAGTCCTTCACTGCTTGATGTCACACTAGAAACAACTGCTATGTTGCTATTGTAATTCAAAGCTGTCATGCAGAACCTACTGGCTCTCTGCAGACTTACACCAGGTCAGAGAACTTCAGCTCAGAAACCAACTGGTCTTGCCTGGTCTGCAGGAGCCACAGGCAGGGAGGCAGCTTTGCCTCTGGCTGGGAAAACTCCCCCTGACCTGCATGGAAAGGTGTAAGGAGCTGACCACCAGCAGTCAAGCCTTACAGTGCTCAGACCTCTGGAGTTGCAGAGCAACACACATCACCTTCTGCACGAACACAGACCCAGCAAGCCCTTGCTGAGAACAGCATCCCTGCAAGTCCCAACATGCAATGGAACAGCAGCCCTGCTCAGACTTACCCTGCAGCAGCTCACAGGCCGGGCTGCTCCCTTTGTCATCTGGCTCGTCCTGGAGCTCCCCAAAGTGAGATACCAGCTGGTCCTGCTCTCCTTTTAGGCTGTACTGCCCCGGGGAGACCAAACTCTTCTGCATCGTGGGATGGACGTGGCAAGGAGCAGGGCAGGGTATCGGATCACAGTGCTGCTTCTGGGAACAACCCTTGGCTTCTGGATAGCAGGAGGCCTAGGACAGCTGCGGTGGGTTCACTTACTGCTGGCCTCTCCCTGCCTCCCCCGGCTTCCTTGGCAGCAGGTCTGTCAGCCTGCTCTGGCTCCACAGTCTCCACAGCAACTATTTATAGAGGGAAATTCACAGCTCTACTGAGATGGAAACAGAGAAATCCTTCCCCTCTGCTCCACCATCCCCAGAAACCGTGGGGCTGCCTGGCAATTCCCACTGTTCCCAGCAGTGGATCAGCAGGACTTTGGGCCCAGCCTCGATGCTGGTCCCTGACCTGAGCCTGGCAGAGGGGACAGGCTCCCCAAACCC